AGCTCAGAAACAAACTATAAGAATTTCACAATGCAGTCCAAGTATTAATAGCAGAATAGACCAAGCTGAGCAAAAGATCTCAGAAGTGGAAGACTAGTCCTCTGAAATAAGACAGTCAACAAAAATGAAGAAAAAAGAATGAAAAGGAATGAACAAAACGTCCAAGAATTATGGGATTATGTAAAAAGGCCAAGGCTACAAATCACTGGCATCTCTGAAAGGGATGGGCAGAAAGCTAACAATTTAGAATACAATTTAGGATATCGTACTTGAAAACTTCCCCAATCTTGCTAGAGAGGCCAATAGTCAAATTCAGAAAATACAGAGAATCCTTGCAAGATACTACACAAGAAGATCATCCCCAAGACACATAATCATCAGATTTTCCAAGGTCAAAATGAAAGACAGAATGTTAAAAGCAGCTAGAGAGAAAGGACAGGTCATCTACAAGGGGAAACCTATCAACCTAACAGCATACCTTTCAGCTGAACCCCTAAAGTCAGAAGAGATTTGGGGCCTATATTCAACATTTTAAAAATATATATATTCAACCAAGAATTTCATATCCAACCAAACTAAGCTTCCTGCGCAATAAAGAAATAAGATCCCTGTTAGATAAGCAAATGTTGAGGGAGTTCATTACCACCAGATCTGCCTTACAAGAGATCATGAAAAGAGCACTAACTATAGAAAGGGAAGATAGCTAACCAATACAAAAATACATTTAAATTCACAAACTGGTGACACTGTAAAGCCACCATACAAACAAGCCAGCATAACAGCATAATGAGAGCAACAAATTCATACATATTAACACTAGCCGTGAATGTAAATGGGCTACATGCCCAACTTAAGAGGCACAGAGTGGCAAGCTCGCTAAAAAAGCAAGACCCAATGGTATGCTGTCTTCAAGAAACCCATGTCACATGTAATGACACCCAAAGGCTCAAAATAAAGAGATGGAGGAGAATCTACCAGGCAAAAGGAAATCAGAAAAAAGCAGGAGTTGCAATCCCAGTTTCAGACAAAACAGATTTTAAACCAATAAAGACCAAAACAGGCAAAGAATGGCATTACATAATGGTAAAGAGTTCAATTCAACAAGAAGACCTAACTATCCTAAATATATATGCATCCAACACAGGAGCATCCAGCTTAATAAAGAAAGTTCTTAGAGACCTATAAAGAGACTTAGACACCCATACAATAATAGTGGGAGACTTTGGCAGTCCTCTGAAGTATTAGACAGATCATCGAGGCAAAAAATTAACAAAGATATTCGGGACCTGAACTCAACATTGGACCAAATGGATGTGATAGACTTCCACAGAACTCTCTACCCCAAAACAGCAGAATATACATTATTCTCATCATCACATGGCACATTCTCTAAAAATCAACCACATAATTGGACATAAAACAATCCTCAGCAAATGCAAAAGAACCAAATTATATCAAAAGCACCCTCAGACCACAGCTCAATAAACATACAAGTCAAGACTAAGAAAAATACTCAAAACCATACAATTACATAGGAATTAAACAACATAGTCTTGAATTACTTTAGGGTAAATAATAAAATTAAGGCAGAAATCAAGATGTTCTTTGAAACTAAAGATAATTAAGAAACACCATGTTGGAATCTCTGGGACATAGCTAAGGTAGTGTTAAGAAGGAAATTCATAGCATTAAATGCTCACATCAAAAAGAAATATCACAAAGAACCTAACATCAAAACTGGAAGAATTAGAGAAATAAGAGTAAGTCAACCCCAAAGCTATCAAAGGCAAGGAAAACCAAAATCAGAGCTGAACTGAAGAAAGTCAAGACATGAAAACACATTCAAAAGATCAACAAATCCAAGAGTTGGTTTTTTTGAAAACATTAATAAGATAACTAGGCTGCTAGCTAGGCTAATAAAAAAGAAGAGAGGAAAGACACAAATTAACACAATTACAAATGACCTCACAAAAATAAAAATAACCATCAGAAACTACTACAGACAGTTCTATGCACATAAACTAGAAAACCTAGAAGAGATGGATAAATTCCTGGACACATATACGCTCCCAAGACTGAACTAAGAAGTAATTAATTTCTTGAACAGACCAATAATAAGCTCCAAAATTGAATCAGTAATAAATAGCCTACTAAGCAACAAAAAGCCATGACCGGATGGATTCACAGCTAAATTCTACGAGATGTGCAAAGAAGAACTACTACCATTCCTACTGAAACTTCAAAAAACATGAGGAGGAGGAAGTCCTTCCCATTTCATTCTATGAGGCCAGCATCATCCTGATACCAAAACCTGGCAGAGACACAACAATAAAAACTTCAAGCCAACATCCTTGATGAACATTGATGCAAAAATCCTCAACAAAATACTTTACTTGCAAACCTAATCCAGCACATTAAAAAGCTAATCCATCAAGATCAAATAGACTTCACCCCTGGGATGCAAGCTTGGTTCAACATACATAAATCAATAAATGTGATTCATCACATAAATAGAACTAAAGACAAAACCCACATGATTATCTCAATAGATGCAGAAAAGGCTTTTGATAAAATTTACCATCCTTCATGTTGAAAACTCTCAATAAACTAGATATTGAAGGAATATATCTCAAAATAGTAAGAGTCATCTATGACAAACCCACAGCCAACACCATACTGAATGGGCAAAAGCTGGAAGAATTACCCTTGAAAACCAGCACAAGATAAGGATGCCCTCTCTCATCACTCCTATTCAACATAGTATTAAAGTCCTGGCCAAAGCAATCAAGCAAGGAAAAGAAACAAAGATGTTTCTATATAGGCAGAGAGGAAATCAAACTATCCCTGTTTACAGATTACATGATTCTATATCTAGAAAATCCCATAGTCTCAGCCCCAAATCTCCTTCTCTGATAATCAACTTCAGCAAAGTTTCAGGATACAAAATCAAAGTGCAAATAGCACTAACATCCCTATACACCAATAACAGCCAAGCCAAGAGCCAAATCAGGAACACAATCCCATTTGCAATTGCCACAAAAAGAATTAAACACCAAAGAATAGCCAACCAGGGTGGTGATAGATCTCTACAATGAGAAATACAAAATACTGCTCAAAGAAATCAGAGATGACACAAACAAATGGAAAAATATCTCATGCTCATGGATTGGAAAAATGAAATATTATTAAAATGGCCATACTTCACAAACTAATTTACAGATTCAATGCTATTCCTATCAAATTACCAATGACATTCTTCACAGAACCAGAACAAAACTATTTTAAAATTTACATGAAACCAAAAAGGATCCAGAATAGCCTAGGTAATCCTAAACAAAAAGAACAAAGCTGAAGGCATCATGTTACCTGGCTCCAAATTACATTTCAAGGTTACAGTAACCAAAACAGCATGGTATTGGTTAAAAAAAAAAACAGACACATACACCAGTGGAACAGAATACAGAGTCTAGAAATAAGACCACACCTACAACCATCTGATCTTTGACAAAGATGACAAAAATCAAACAATGGGAAAATGACTGCCTATTCAAAAATGGTGTTGGGCTAATTTTGGCTAGCCATATGTAGAAGAATGAAGCTGGACCCCTTTCCTTACACCATAAACAAAAATCAACTCAAGATGGATTAAAGACTTAAATGTAAAACCCAAGACTTTAAAAACCCTTGAAGACAACCTAGGCAATGCCATTCTGGATATAGGAATTAGCAAGGATTTCATGACGAAGATGCCAAAAGCAATCTCAACAAAGGCAAAAATTGACAAAATGGGATCTAATTAAACTTAAGAGCTTCTGCACAGGAAAAAAAAAAAAAAAACTATCAGCAGAGTAAACAGACAACCTACGGAGTGGGAGAAAGTATTTGCAAGCTATACATCTAAAAACAAGAAACTTAAACGAATGTACAAGAAACAAAACAACCCCATTAAAAAGTGGACAAGAGACATGAACAAACCTTTTTCTAAAGAAGACATACAGGTATCCAACAAGCATATGAAAAAATGCTCAATATCACTGATAGAGAAATGCAAATCAAAACCACAATGAGAAACCATCTCACACCAGCCAGAATGGCTATTACAAAAAGTCAAAAAATAACAGATGCTGGAAAGGTTGTAGAGAAAAGTAAACACTTACACACTATAGGTGGGACTGTAAATTAGTTCAACCATTGTAGAAAGCAGTCCAGTGATTCCTCAAAGAGCTAAAAACAGACCTAACATTCAACCCAACAATCCTACCCAGAGGAATATAAGTCATTCTATCATAAAGACACATGAATGTGAATGTTCACTGCAGCACCATCTATAATAGCAAAGACTTGGAATCACCTATATGCCCATTAATGACACATTGGATAAAAAAAAATATGATATATATACACTATGAAATATTATGTCGCCATAAAAAAGAATGAGACAATGTCTCCTACAGGAACATGAATGGAGCTGGAGGCCATTATTCTTGGAAAACTAACATAGGAACAGAAATACCACATGTTCACACTTACAAGTGGGAGCTAAATGATGAGAGCACATGGACACAAAGAAAGGAGCAACAGACATTGGCACCTACTTGAGGGAGAAGAGTGGGAGGAGGGAGAGGAGCTGGAAATACTAAGTATTGGGTACTAGGATTAGTACCTAGGTGACAAAATAATCTGTAGAACCCCCATGACACTTATGCAAAAAAAGAAACCTGCACATGTATTCGTGAACTTAAAAGTTAAAATTAATTAAAATAGAATAAAAAATGTTCTGAAAAAGAAAAGAGAGAGAGACTCAAAGAAACAGTCTTCTTCCCCTTGACCACGTGCCTTGAAGACTCATTATGCAGAAATAGACAGGTACCCAGACAAAATTAGGAGTGTGGTGGACCATATTGACAGGAATTTGTACAGCTTTCTTCAAAATGCTCATTTCGCCACATGGACTTCGGGTCAAAATCAATTTGTTATATGGGCAATGGAATTTATCTCACCTTGGGTTTCTCCCCAGCCAGTGATGTAACATTCAGTCCAGTCGGCAACCACATAATTTGGGGATGGCAGACATGCTGGGATTACTTTGTCAGTGATGATGGCAGGACCAAAGAAAAGCATCAGCTGTTGTTTAATGCTTTGCTGGGAGCTGTAACACCTACAACCAGCCATCCCTGCCTTGAGTCCCCAGCAGACAAGCTGGGATCACTTTGCCAGTGATGATGGCAGGACTGAAGAAAAGCATCAGCTGTTGTTTGATGCTCTGCTGGGAGCTGCAGCACCCACAACCAGCCATCCCTGCCTTGAGTCTGCAGAGTCCTCTGAGCTGGCACTGCCTTGCTTCACTGACCCAGAGCAACAGAGAACACAGCGTTTTTCACCCTCACATCTGTCTATGGACTACACAGATACAAGACTTCATTTGAAAGGCATCGGTTGCTTACAAGAAACTGCTGGTGGCCTTCACCTTTGAAAGTAGGAATGACAAAGTCGCACTTCTCATGTATATTCTGTGCCCGACTAGAATCTCATGCTGAGTGCGTCCTTTCATATTAATTGAATAGGTTATAGATCAGTCTGCAAAATGTCTGATTGAGACGCCACCAATGACTGTAAAACTGCAAATGCGTTGTGTGCCCAGAGCAAGGTGCTCCATCCTTGGATCCTCCACTTCCTCCTCAGTGAGTGTTACTACACTATGGTTGTAAGAATCCAGTGAAATACTTGATACCAAATGAAAGTGCTAACACTGGGATGAACGTTTTCGAAGCCGCAACATGTCCAGTGAGCCATGTGAACCAGTTCTGTTACTGGGAATGAAACCTGTCACTGACTGCTTGACTTGACCCCAGCCCAGGAGACAGGGAGCAGAGAGGTGTATATCATGGTGTGAACCAGACCATGAGCGTGTAACACAAGACCAGCTGAGAGTCTGAATGTTATTCTGGGGCACAGGTGAGTCTAGGGCTGGTGCCAGGAGCATGTAAATGAACAAGCTAACATTGAAGGTGGACCACCTGGTGTTCATTGCTAATTGCCTGCCTGATTTTGAAACAGTCTGCAGCACACATGGTCACACGGGAATGATGTTTTATAGTCACACGTGTTTAGAAGGAAGAGAAAGGATAATATACATTTTTTATAATTTAAAATTTTTAGTATTACCAAACAAAAGTATCCACTCAAAATACAATTCAACAACGCAGAAGTCATCTGACAGCAAAGAAATGCAGAGAAAAGCAAAACTGCAAGTCTGTGAGCAAATGATGAATGTAGTCTCAAATCCTCAAAGAGCTGTTTATTTCACTGACAAATAGATTATTCATATTCAATTCTGATGTGCTTTAAGGATGAAAATGCTCCTTCCACACTTAGCACACACTTTGTGTATATTGTCACCTGTTCTCTTTATAGAAAGATTCTTCCTCATTGTTAAGGTTCCCCTTTGGTACCTTTTGTGCCTGTCCACATAAACTATTTCATTTTAAAAACTCAGCATAAAATATATACTGAGTCTGAAAAGAGTCTGAAAGTCCTATGTGAGCTCTGGCATCTACACTGAGCTCACTGTTCTCCTCCAGTTGTTCCTCCTTTGTTTGTGAAACCTCTCCCTGTGAATACACAGCTTTGTATTTAGCCAAATAGTTGAGGACTTTTCTTTTTTTAGAGGAAGTCTCACTCTTGTGGCCCAGGCTGGAGTGCAATGGTGCCATCTCTGCTCACTGCAACCTCCGCCTCCTGGGTTCAAGCAATCCTCCTGCCTCAGCCAGCCAAGTAGCTGGGATTACAGACATGTGCCACCATAAGTGGCTAATTCTTGTATTTTTTTTTTTTTTTTTTTTAGTAGAGACTGGGTTTCACCATGATGGCCAGGCTGCTCTCGAACTCCTAACCTCAGGCAATTTGCCTACTTTGGCCTACCAAAGTGCTGGGATTACAGAAGTGAGTCACTGCAATCGGCCTATTGCTTCTTTAAATAAGGAACAAGAAATTTAAAGAGAAAATAGGAAGTACCTTCTTCCCCTACTGCAACTTATGAGGTAAGCAGATAATTGATCATATGGTAAAAAGGAACCTAATAAAATCTGTGTCTCAATATATCTGGAGCACTGCTTCCGTTAAAGTAAATGCCCACATTAGTCATGCATTGACACACATGCTTATTTTCGTAAGTGAATTCTCCAGAATTCTGAAAATCAGTGAAAAGATCATCTCGTTCGTTCTACACAAAACCAAGCATGGCATGTGGCTGTCCATGTTTCAGGGCATACACATCCCTTTCCACCCGGATCAATGTGTCCCATGGGACGCTACTTCTTGCCTTTGCAACCAGATTCAGTAAACAAATATTGTTTTGCATAGCTGACACAGGACCACACTGATTGCACGAACAAGGTCAGTCTGTGGAAGGAAGCTAACAAAGTTAAATGGGGCACGTTAAGGAGGCGTAACCCACCACATTGGCTTTTCTGCCTTTAGAATTTTTTTCCGGTAAAAAAATACAAGTACCAGGACTCCCTGAATCCAGCAGGTTAGAACAGAGGAAGGCGGAGGGCGGCCTCCTGCACACCTCTCCTACCCCTGCCAGTTTCCAATCCAGCGTCCAGGGGCTGGAGCATGGGGGCTCCACGTGCTCGCGCTTGGAAGAGGAAACGCCCTCAACCCCCACTTCTTCCAGGGGCTCCGACCACCTCCCTGGGCTCAGCCCCGGAGCCAGCGGCTGGACGGAGCGGGGTCGCGCCCTGGAACGCGGGAGAAAAGCCCAGCTGGCGGCGCAGGGGCGCCGTCCTGCCCTTCCCACGGCCGTGGCCCGGCCACCCTGGGCCTGCGGGAGGGGGCCGCCCACCCGCCCCGTCCACGCCTGCGTCCCCCGCGCCCGCCCCTCTGCGGAGCGCAGGCGGCCTTGGGCCGGTCCCGGGGCCCCTCGCGCGCTCCCTGGCGCGCTCCAGAAGCGTCAGAGTCCTCCGGGCGGCCACGGCCCGCGGCGGCTCCCACCCTGGCGCCCCTGGATTGCTCAGCCCACTCTCGGCCTCATGCCCCCCGCTGCTACCACCTCGTAATCTGCAGCCTCAGGACATGAACCATCCGCCGGCTGCAGTCGCCTGAAGTAAAGCCCGCGACAGTTTGGGATCTGGACACGCCCCCCCACGGGCGGCAGGGGCAGAGTGTGCGGTCTGCCGCCCCCTGCCGGCCGGGATGACGTTTGCTTCTGCTTCCAAGCTGCCCAGCGGTGTTCCGGCAGGAACGTTTCAAACGCAAGACTGAGAACAAATACTGTTTACGAATTCCAGAGAAGAAAAAGAAAATATTAGTCTTCTGTTTAGCAACCGGTTTTTCTAGCCCAGCCAGCACTTCTGTGGGTTGTATTTAAGTCTTACGTGCATCGGAGCTGTTTCCTGCAGGCGCCGGCATTGTGCAAGGGGGGAAACTTGAGGACAGTATCTCTGAAAACTCGAGGCTCTTGGGTGAAGCAACATTTCCACATTAAATATGTAACATAAGACCTGGTAGGGGTCTCCTACGATTTACCCATCATGCAAAAGGACTGAGTCTCTGCAAAACAGGGCTTTCAAATAACCTTTTTCAGGAGAAGAAAACGTTGGAAGAGCTGATTCGATGCCTATTTGTTTTTGACTTTGCATCTAAACTGATCCCCTTAAAGATGTTATGGGTATGAATGATAAATAATGAAAGGGATCAAAATACGAATGTTTCATTCACTTTAACCTGGCCCAGGAAGTGCACTTCAGGCCCTAGACTCTGGTTTCAACTCCCCAGTTTCTACCATTCCTTGGCTTTGTTTGCTTCAGACTGATCAGAGTTCTGTGAATACAGTAGGTGCTCGATAAATGCTTATTCTGGCACTACCATTGATGCCTGTGGCAGTGACTGCAGACGAGCAGGATCCTGCAGCAGCGAGGCGTGGGGCTGGAGGGCCTGGCCTTGGCATCCAACTCTGCTCCATCTGCCACACTAGCTCTGTGACTTTGGGGAAGCTATGAACCTCTGCTCAGCCCTCTGTTGGTAAGACCAGAGTGGTAGTAATAGCACCTCCCCCATAGGGCTGGAGTGAGGAGTCAATGAAACAGCCTGTGTAATGAACCTTGCGTGGTGTCTAGTGTTGTGTAAACCACTCATCGGACAGGGGACTAGTATCCAGAATATACAAGGAACTCAAACATCTCAGAGCAAAAAACCAACCCAATTTAAATATAGGCAAATGACCTGAGTAGACATTTCTCAAAAGAAGACGTACAAATGTCCAACAAATGAATGAAAATGTGCTCAACATCACTAATCCTTAGGGAAATGCAAATCTAGACCACAATGAGCTATGCTCTCACCCCCATGAGGATGGCTAGTATCAAAAAGAGAAAAAAATAACATGCTGGTAAGGATGCAGAAAAAAATGAACTTTTATACACAGTAGGAATTTAAAGTAGTGCAATCACTCTGGAGAACAGTATGGAGGTTCCTCAAAAAACTACAAATAGAAGTATCCTATGATCCAGCAATCTCGCTACTGGACACTTATCCAACAGAATGGAAATCTTTATATCAAAGAGCCATCTGCACCCCGAGGTTTATTGCAGCTCTAACCACAATAGCCAAGAATGGAATCAACCTAGTTGTCTGACCACACATGAACAGATTTTAAAAATGTGGTAGATACATACCATGGAGTACTATCGAGCCATAAAAAATAATGAAATCCTATCATTCACAGTAACATGGATAAAGTTAAAGGACATTATGTTAAATAAGCCAGGAACAGAAAGGTTAACACTGGATGTTCTCACTCATATGTGGCAGCTAAAAGAAGTTGATCTCAGGAAGTAAAAAGGAGGACAGAAGATACCAGAGGCTGAGAAGGGTCCACGGCAGGGACGGGTAGGGAGAGAGTTGTGAAAGGGTACAAAATTACAGCTTGATAGGAAGAATATGTCCTAGTGTTCTATGCCACAGTAGGATGTCAACAATAATATGGCGAATAGTTGAATGTCCCCAACACAAATATATAATAAATTATAGAGATTTGAGATGATGGATATGCTAATAATTTGATCGCTATACATTTTAGGTATTGAAATATCTTTATGTACACCGTAAATATGTACAATTATTATTTGTTGATTAAATTTTTTTTGAAAATTTGTTCTCCTAGAATTAGAAAGTAGAATAATGGTTATCAGAAG